GCTTCGCCTTCTCTTTATTCTTATCAATTAAATCTGTGATGTATGGGGGGTACTCGTGGCCTTCTGACACTCTCATTTTACTGGTTTCACGCCTATTAACAAAATAAGCATTAACCCGGTAAAAGGAAACCTGGACAAAAGCGGTGATGGGCAAATATCGGGCATTTTTCATCACGCTATTGAAAACCTCTGCCAGATTAGAAGTGATGGTACCGTATCTGTATCCGCCATCGTGGTGCAATGACCACATTTCCGGGGCAATGTTCCCCAGAAATTGTCGTGCCTCCAACTCATTTCACCTCTTCTTGAACCCACAGTCAAACTTCTTTTTCTGATGTTGCCGTGCCGTCCAGACAAATTTTTTTTTAAGATGAATGTCTTTGAAATGAGTGTGCACATTCGATGCAAGATGGCGGATACATAGCCTATGATGCGCATAATGTAACACCGTCCCCAAATGTATTTATCTTTAAGCTAATAATTTATTGAACCCTATGAAATATTTAGTGAATTTACGAAGTTGTGAATTTGTATTAATTTTTTTCGCGTGAATAGTAAAATGCACGTGGGGCCCACATCGGGAGTGGGGACCGCCCGATATTATCGGGGCCACATATTATATTGATCTTGGACTAGATAATATGTATATGGTGGTGGATATCCTAGTTGAGCCATGACAATGGCATAGGGTTGACCGGTTGGTCAAACGGGGCCAAATTATCAGTATCGGCAATCTATCAGATAACAGCCCGAAAAGGGATTTCGGAGACTTCTAAATTAAAGTTGAGGGATGCATATTGATTCTAAGGTCCATTAAGAATTGGGAACAAGTGTTATATTTTATTTGACCCGATAAAATAAAATATACTTAAAACAGTCCGGAAAAATACAACTTTCGGGACCGATTGTACACTTCTGGACAAAAAGGGTTGACCTCCCACATGGGTGGGGGCCAACCCACGATTTTAGCCTCATTATTCAGGGCCTTAGCAGGCTGGTAAGAGATATGAGGTGGGAGAGGACTGATTTGAGATGTTTGGCATCAAAACAAATCATGGTGGCCCTCCTCCCTTTCACTCATTGCCCAAAAGGAGACAAAGAGGCATTCCTACCCATCCCCCTCCTCACTAGTTCGGCCAGCAGCAAGGGAAAGGAGGAAAGAACCTCTACAACTTCATCTCCATAGCCCCAAATCCGAACTCAAGCTCAAGGGAGTCCAAGAAGAAAGTTTAAGAAGGAAAAAAGCTAGGAAAAAGTGTGAAAATTAAGGTAATGACCTTATCATAACTTTTCCTTTGTTTTTCTTCTAGCATACAAGATATATATCATATGAAAGACCTTTAGTATTGTTCTACATGATTTAAGTGTGGAATAATGGGTTGGAAAGTGATTCTAAGTCCAAAAACGGACTTAGAAGCCAAATCGACCGGTTTGCCGGAAAATAACCTTTTATAAGTTATTTGTGTTGATATGGGTTTTGTGATGATAAAACCTTGTTAGGAACTTGATTTAAAGTATTTTTGAGCCTCGCCGGAGTTTCGTCGGAGTTGGTCAAAGTTCGCCGGAGTTGGTCAAAGTTCGCCGGAGTTGGTCAAAGTTCAATCAAGAAACGTAGAACGCACTTAAGCTTAATTAAGGTGAGGATGACCGACTATGTTACCTATAATCTTTGGGTTAATTTCATGGGATTTCCTAAGTGAATATAAATGTGATGTGTATGAGTTGTTAATGGTTAATAATGCCTAAATGAAACTACTATTGATTATAAGTATAGTATGAATGATACACAAATTTATGAATAAATTGTGTATGTTTAGATGTTGTGAATATGTGTGTATGATGGTTGTACTGACCATGAATATCATTTGAGATAGTATACTTTGATGCCATGAGGAGAAGCTATGAGGGTATGAAAGTGATACTTGATATTAAGGCCAATTGTGCAAGAAGAAAGAATTATATTGAAATAAATGAATAACTAGCATTGAAATGTTAGTTGGAAATGTTAGTTGAGAAATGGATGAATTCGATCCTAAGAATTTGAATTATAAGGAATCCGTGATTATGAGCCGGGCTCAAGACCGATGTAGATAACGGTGATTATGAGCTGGGCTCTAGACCGTAGTAGATAACGGTGATTATGAGCTGGGCTCTAGACCGTAGTAGATGACGGTGATTATGAGCTGGGCTCTAGACCGTAGTAGATGACGGTGATTATGAGCTGGGCTCTAGACCGTAGTAGATAACGGTGATTATGAGCTGGGCTCTAGACCGTGGTAAATAATGATGAATTGATATTAAATGAACGGATTAACTATAATGTAATAATGCTCTAGTTTGAGGGCCTCAGAGATTTAAACTTTGATTATACTTAGTATAGTTGTCATTGTACTTGTCAAATGCTTCCAAGTACTGACCTCCCCTTCACGGGGGAGGCCACCTCACAGTTTCAGGTAGAACTTGAAGGTTGCTACCACCAGCCGCTGCTTCGGGAAGTTTCTGAGGAGAAGACTTGATTCGTGCTTCTCCCGTTCCTGTTTTGAAAAACAATATGAATAATGCTCATGGATAATATTTTCTGAATAATTATTTTGGGGGCTTGCATGCCAAATTATGCCAAGTGTGGCTTGAACACTTGTATCAATTGTTTCCGCTGCTTTAATAAATGTTTTACATTATGTTTGTTTATGGATGTACTATGTGTGAATGGTATTCAAGACGCCTTGTATAGTATGGATGAGTCGGACTGCGGTTGACTATTCGTACTGTACGGCGGGTTGTTGACGTGTCCGGGTAGGTCCGGGGCGTGACACATAAGGCTCCTCCCAAGTACTGTCCACCTCATTCATTGCCTCACAATACCTCCATGTCGATGAGAAATGACACACAACTCACTATTAGTGACAAACTGCCTAATACATGCCATAAACCATGGCCAACTATCCCCATTCTCAGATTCAACAACTGCAAAGGCCACTGGAAATATTTGGTTGTTCGCATCACAACCCATGGACACGAGCAATGTACCCTTGTACTTTCCATACAAGTGTGTGCCATCAATAGTAAGTACGGGTCGACAATGCTTAAAACCATGTATTGATGCATTGAATGCCCAAAAAACTTTTTGAAACTGCATATAACCTGTGGGAGTATTACGGGGTGGGTACCACTGCACAATAGTTCAAGGATTTGAATCTTGGAGCGATGTCATGAAACGGGGCAATTCAGAATATGACTTCTCCCAACCGCCAAATATTTCTGATATGGCCTTTTGCTTCCCCATCCATGTTCTTCGGTATGATACTGTATACCCATACTTTTCCTTCAGCATCTCAATGATAGTATGCACTTTAAGGGAAGGATCAGTGCGAACAATGTCAATCACATCTTTAGAGATGAAATCTGAAGTCAAAGCCACATGATCGGTAGTGTCGGTGTTCCCAACACATGTAGCAGAATGAAGTCCAGGATGACGCATAATTGTGAAGGTGTCAAGGTTGCCTTTGTTCTTTGTGGCGCGTATTCTGTAGGGGCAATTACATTCTTTCTTTCTTTTGCATTGTGCCACCCATTTGTGTTTATCGGACTCTATCGCCTGATAAAATTGGTTTCGTTTGATAGAATACAAGTTCACCATATTGATGACTTGTTCTTTGTTGTCAAACTGTTGACCGACCTCAAACTCACCTTCAGGGGTAAACCTTTTCTCACCTGATCCACTCATCCACGCATCAGTAAAGCCTTCAGGGAGATCATACATTATAGTAAAGTGGCTAGACGGAGCAGTTGCCGTGACCGTATCACCATCATCTTCATCAGATTCTGTCATATCATCACCATTGATGTTGTCGTCAGCATCATCATCACTTCCCTGCCCATCCACAAATGATGCACCGTTGTGCAAATACCTACCATCTTCCTGTATAACCATGTGCAGTACAGGAGCATTTGAGGAGTAACCTGCATTCACACCTGCATTGACATAATGCCTAGATACAACAACATTTGATGGTGATGTATCTCATATGGATTCCTCAATGTATATCTCCAGCGTCGACATGTTCTTCATCTGAACTATGCCCCACATATTTGTTATAGCTAGCTCATCAATGAGGGGCATAAGCATGTACTTTCCCCCGTTCATGGGAAATTTCATTTTCAAACGCAAAGAACGACTATGATGAATCATTGTGGCTGCATGTATTTTTTGAAGGATCTCGAGCATGCAAGCACCACGAGAAACCATGACAAATGTGGTTCTACCACCTTCATGGCATATTTGCTTAGCATCCTCATAATAGTTCCCTCTCCAATGACACACGATTGGGAAGCTTGAGAAATCCATATTCCAATAACAATTCATTGTCCAACTATCATGAGTAGACATCAATATACACAATCTATACACATTCAAATTTTCAAATCTACCGAAATGCCCAAATATCAAAATACACTTTAAAATTTACAATCAATTTAAAATCAAATTTCAACATTTCATACATATCCACATTTCACAACAACTCAATTCACAATCAATTCATAATCTAAAAATTCGAAAATTTTAACATTGAAAACCCTAAGTTCAAAATGAGATGAAATTAAATTTGATTTACCTACAAGAAAGAAGAAAGAGTGTTGAAGATGAAGATGGAGGTTTGACGGAGTGGGGTCATCGAAGATGGAGGTTCACCGGAGTTGGAAATGGCTCGGTCGTCGTTCGTCCTTCGTCGTTGCGGCTTGGGGGATTTGGGGATTGAGTTTACACAACGTTCTGTTTTGTGGCTGACCGATGTTTTTACTTAAAGATAAGTCACTCAACGGTTGAGCGACTTATAAATCGTCAAACCGTTTGGCGACTTATAAGTCGTCCAACCGTTGGACGACTTACTCCGATCATGATTAACCCAGCGGTATATTGATAAATACTTTAACTCAACCCTATTTTCATAATTAATTAATTAAGAGTAATACGGAAAAAAACTGATAATACAATCAACATCGGCGCATCATACCCAATCAACACTCCCATTCAAACACCTCCCCACCCCCTATCCTTTCCCTATCCATCTATTGCTCATATTATTATCATCCACACATTCCAAATTGGCAATTTCTCCTCTATCATCTCCACTTTCCATCAGGTAAACCATAACACATCCAAAGACCTTCACAAGTTTATGCGAAATCTCAATTTCTTAACTTCCATTTCATCTGCTGCTTTGTTAGTTTAGGTGAGCGATCAATGGCTTCGACATCGCTTTCTCCGGCGGTAGCAGTTACCGGAACCAGCTTCAGGCCTTCCCGGAGAAGAACTGCCAAAGTGAATTACCTTACCGGATTGAACTCATTTGTAGGGCTCAAGGCGCAGAACCAAGTGACCAGACTTGGCCTCCCCGTCAGCGCAGAGGAGTCTTTTGCGAAGATTGTTGGCGCTCTGAGAGAGCCGTCGCGGGGCGGAGGGAGTTACGGTGGAGCTCTGTCTTCTACCTGCAGCGCCACGGCTGAGATTTTCAAGATCGCGGCCATAATTCCGGGACTTGTTCTTGTCGGGGTTGCCGTCGGCTTCGCCCTCCTCCGCGTCGAGGCTATCATAGAGGAAGCTGAGTGAAGATGTGCATCGGTCATTGTATGTTAATTAAATCGTGAAATATTACCGAGTTCTCCATTTTCGACAGCTTAATTTTGCATCTTTGATTTGCCTTACCTATATTTTCACTTCTCCTAAGTCCAGTCAATCTGTTGGTTTGATCATAGCTAGAGTTGGACTCTTGAATGGCCCTCTCAATCCAAAAAGTCTTTGAAATGTTTTTTTTGCAACTCTTTCTTGACCTATTATATTCCCTCCTGTCCGGTGGACTTTGCCAAGTGCAAAGTAATTGAGAAATAAGAATAGTAAAAAATGTGTGGTTGAAATTTGTGCAGAAGAGAGAGAAACATGAAGAACAACAAATTAATTGCTTTAATAGAAAATTGACAAAGTTTTTTGGTACAACAAAAGAGAGAAAGTTGTCAAAGTCCAATGGGACGGAGAGGGTAATATCTAATCTTTTACTCTCTCCGTCCCAAAAACAACTTCCCACTTCTTTATTTGGCAAATTATCTACATCAAAACAGTGACAAATAGTGTAAAACAGTGTCATACACTACTAAACAATGTCCAAACAGTGTAAAAACAGTAAAATTTACCCTCTCGTAAGTTTATATCCTTAATATGTGTGAAAACGAAGTGTGAAGTTGTTTTTGGGACGGAGGAAGTATATGTAAGACCAACATCCTTGAACTGGGATAGGATTCGGATCTGTGATCTCTTCCTTGAGAGTGTCACAATGATGTCATATCAAACCACGGGCGTTTTTGAAATATTTTGTTGTCGTTTTTGCAAAAATAATTGTTTCCCTACAACTCCAAAACCATACACGTGTAAGAAGACTTTTTGTGTCTGATAGAATCATATTTTAATTTGAAATATATAATCAAAATAAAAGTAATTGACAAAAATAACTTTGATGATTATAATTGTATTCTAATGTCACATCGTAGTGACTATAAAACTTTCCCTAATAACTTATACTCTAATTTTTGTCCATAAATCTTTTATTAGTAATATTTTAAGTAAAACCTCACGGTCCATTTGTTACTTTAATATAGGTAACTACATAAGTAATAAGTTGAATTACTTGAATATGTTTCGACCATGTCACTTAAAATCTTATATGACAAATAAATAAATAAATAAATAAATGGACGTAATATCATACTAAGTATAAACTTAATGAATTAATTCTACTTTTGGATGTTCTTATTATCTTAATATATGTGTTTAATCGTAAATATAGGGACCAACTCACATCAACTTTTAGTCTAATGAATTTGTTCAATTTTTGTGGCGATAAGGTTTTTTTTTTGGGTAAAAAGGCAACTTATTTATTAATGATAAAACTAACAAGAAATAAAGTAATATTATAGCTCAAAGTTACGCTAGGATGAAACATAGAATCGAAGGGCCTCCAAGGACCAAACAAATTCGCAAATCCCTCAACTATGAGTCTAATCTAACCGCACCTCTGAACTTGCTACTCAAAAGGTAATCAAAAGAAAACAAATTGTCCAACTAGAAAAGAAACAAATTAAATCAAGAATTCTGGTTTCACCGGCTACCAGAAAGGGAAAATTGATTTGACCACCAACCAACAAAGGGAACTGGGTGAGGGCGTTGGATGCAAACCTCACCTACAGGTAGTGGTGAATGGTGATGGTGTCTGGGTGAGGGTGTTGATTGACGTTCGCAAACCTCTTTTACGGGCAGTCTGTACACCCCCGAATAAAAAGAAGATGTATTTTATGATTATGTATGAGAAGATGTCTGTGTATTGCGGAGTGTGTGGTCTTGTGGGACAGGTCACTAAGGAGCACGGTGATGGAGTGCACCCACCTGATGCTATAATCTACCCAGAGATATTGATTGCTCCAGAGTTCACGAGGAGGGGTTTCTGGATGTCCGGAGGGGGCGATGGAGGGCGTAGGGTTGGATGAGGGGAACAAACTTCTGGCCACGAGCAATCTCGCCCGGAGAAATATGATGATGATGATGAGGACCTTAGGAGTGCGGCGATTAGCCCGTCTAAGCCGAAGGAGCACCGAAGGGGATTAAGTTCATTATTCTATCATTTTTTTGTTAGTCCTTTTACTCTTTTAATTCTTTTCAATGAATATTCAATTGTTTTGAGTATAAGTATTTGGATTGATATATTTTTTTAATTTTTTTTATATTCATGTGGGGCCTCGATTTTACATTTAGAACTGGGGCCTCCAAATTCATTAGATGGCAGTGGCGGCTGTGAATATATGGCGTGATAATCGGATTCCGCGGGATAATACTCTAAAAGTCAATGGGAAGAGGAATTTCGCTAGATGTAGGAAAGTGAGTGATCTCATAAACTAGGGCGAGGGGTGGTGGAATGAGAGCCTCATCCGGGACAAATTCTAGCCTTGGGATGGTGATGAAATTTTGAAGATTAAACTGCCAACTTCCAAAAGGGAGGATTTCTTGGATTGGCCCTATGACAAACGAGGTATATTTAAGAGTGCATACCTTCTTGCTATATCAGACTGGCTTAAGGAAAAAGTATAGGGGAAAGTAACGAGCAAGCACAGAGCATTTGGAAAGTTTTGTGGGATTCCAAAGTGCCCCGTAAGATACGTATTTTCGGGTGGTGTTTAGCCCGGGAAGCTCTTGCAACTCAGATGAATCGGCTACAAAAGGAAAATTATATTTAGGGGTGTGCACTATCCGGTTTTAACCGAAAAACCGGACCGAACCGGACCAGAAAACCGGAACCCGATCAAACCGGAATGATATCCAGTCCGGTTTTCGGTTATGAAAATTTAGGAAATCGGTTTTCGGTTTAAAACCGGATTATTCCGGTTTGAACCGGATTTAACCGGTTTTGCAATATTTATTAAAATATATTTACTAATACTAATATAATAATAGTTATAAAATAAAAAAATAATACTCCATACTAATAACAATATATAATAGCAATTGATTTCATAATGATTATAATATATATTATCCTAATATTATATTTTCCATTCATTTTTATTCTCGTAATGATAAAACTAACTAATATACGAGTATATTATTCTAGTCTCAAGTTACTCCAATATTTGCTCACTAAAATTAATTAAAACGGATTTAGAAAACAACAATAATAAAAGTAATATTTTTAATAATAAGCACTCCATCTTTATCAAATGACTTTAAAAATTATTCAATACTTGAAAATATCAAGTTGTCATAAATCACTTGATATTATACAACACCAAATATTTTAACATATGTGGAAGCGTTTACAAAAACGAAATGATCAGATAAGATTAAAGTCACACTTGTTTCATGTTTATTTATTTTCGACAATACACACATGGTATGCACAAGAATCCTACGCCTCCGTCCATCCCAGCATCCTTATCTTAGCTGAGTCTACGTCAACCTACAGGTAGGAAAAACAAACAACTACCCGCTCAGCAATGTGCTGAGTGGTACAGTACAAATAATAATACCAATGATAATAACATTAATAATGATAATAATCACTTATTAGATCACATATCAACATAACATATTTAGCATCTAGTCAACAGTCATATAACATACCTGAGTGAAGCGGATAACTGTTATAAAAATCAAGATACTTGTATATAGATCAGAAGCATATTCAGATATCATAATTATCAAATAATTATTATTCAGAGGTATACCATTAATAAAATAAATTTTAGCCTATACTCAAGAAACTCGACCCAGATAGAGGAATACTAACGGTAATGAATATGGTCACAAAGTCCATATCCACATTACCCAGGAAGGATATGGAAACGTAATCGCCGGAGCTACACGTACTAATCCTTAACAGGAGCTAGCTGACAGAAAGGACAAAATCACCGAAGAGACTCAAACCTTAACAGAAGAGTAATAGTGTTCTAAAAATATTTCAGGAATGTACATAGTACACTAAACAAGAGAACACTAATTCCTCTAAACAGAATTTCAGGATTTTCAGGAGTGTACATAGTACACTAAACAGACAGATCATGAGTATTCGTGTCAGAGTGCCGGATCAAAAGCAGGACATTTGAGAAACATTTTTCTTTAGTTTGTTTACAACAAAATATTGAGTTTAATATATCTTAAGTTTTAGCGGTATTAAATTTTTTGGATGTCAGTATTTATAAATAAATCGTCGCCCGAAGTTTCTCATTAAATTTATAATCAACTTATTCTATTTTTTTTCTTTTCATTTATAAAGATATATTTTACGAGTTATTTTATACTGTCCAATCATTTCTTTAGTTGATAAATAAAATCTCTTAATGAGTTATCTTGACATTGCGTGTGAATAGTAGTACTTAGGACAATAATTATAAAGGCACACATTTATATGTATAGTGCTTAATTAATGCATGTAAATATAAGCCTTACACTTATTATAATATTACACACATATGCATACATATATTTATTTAAGTCGGCTACTCTTATTCTAGGAGTATATATATTAATCATTTTCATGAACCCACAAGCTTTTATAAATAATTTAATTGTATTTTTAAGGCTAAACCTTGAATCTAGTTATACTTGACTTTCAAAAACTAAATTACAGAAATAAATAATATCAAATTAAAGTATATAGTCATATAAATTTTTATGTAAGTAAAATAGTTCATAAATTTTAATTTATATTTAAGTATGATAAAAATGTTAACCTTATGCACATGTGTTTACGGATTTCGTATAATACCAATTATCTGATTTTGACAAATTAACTCTTATAAGGATTAGTTTAACTAATTTATATTTCATATAATGGAAATATGGAACTCTTGAACTACATCATTCTTAATTAACTTAGTCGGTGGTTTATTTATAATTTTCCAATATGTACATGCAGCTAAACTTTAGTTCCGTCAATTGAACTTTTTCATTTTATTTTTGTATAATGAAATTTTCAATAATAGCTCTTAGAAATTATGAACACATAGTTAAAGCATATAAATATTTCTAAGGCTAAATAATACTCATCATCCCCATAACATATGAAACGGGGACGGAAATTATACTTACATAATTAATAATATTAAAATATACTCCGTACATTAAATAAAATTGGGTCAAAAGTACTGACCTAGAACCTTAATGATTTTTGGGTCGGAAGTTATATTCCTTCAGTTCGTTTCTACTTCTACTTGCTCAACTCTTTCTTACTTAATATATAGGAGTATATTTTTAATAGTGACTGGCCGCATGTGTATGAAGTTTTGAGATAACTAAGAGTACCTATATATAGTATTGATAAACCATATAGTACACAAAAACTTAGCAGACATAATTATTTGAATAACTATTC